AATTAGCGACTTGACCTATCCGGTTAATAAACAAGTCTCGTGTGCATTCAAAGATATGGCGGATATCGTATTGTATCGGTCGTTTACATGTGACTGAAATCATTGTCTTACGGTGAAACTAAGTTGAATTTTACTTGCATTTCATAAAATTTCAACGGATTTATTTTTTGTGCGTTACTATAATCACCACTGAATAATAATCACCAATTTCAACACTTTGAAAACAAGTAAGTTTTTCACTTGTGAACCGCAGCATGGCCGGATTGCGCTACCGTACCGTGATCATTTGCTACTAAGCAGTGCATTCGTGTTTGTTTTTATTTGAAACTTCTTTTAGAATATACTTTTCGTTACCAAGAAAATTAAAAAAATAAATGCATATTACATTAAATATACTGAGTATTTTTTTTATCATGTGAACAGTTTTTTTTTGATTGACCGTAATTTTTCAACATTTCGTAATGCCTATTTTAGAACCAAAGTAAGACATTTCACTCTTCTCTGACGCCTATTCAAGAGATTGTAAGGTGTATTGTTAGTTTTGTGCATGTGTTGTGGGGAAAAAAAGATTAGCTCAAGTGTTAGGTGGACGTTGGCCAGATGGGGAATTCACGGTTTTACACAAACATTCAACTTTGACTGGCGCCTAATTGGTGTGAAAATTATCACCTTTTCTATTGTACTGGCGCCTAATCTAGGGTGGCGCTTATATGAGGTACTGTAAAGGGGGTAATTATTCACTGGGTTTTAATTTAGCTTATTTCGCTGACTGGGAAAATGCGCTAAATTAAAACCCAGTGAATATGTAAAATTTAGCATAAAACACATTATCTAAATGACGAAACCGTGAATTTAAAACCCACTGAATATGCCTGAAATGGTAAATCAGTGAAATTTAAACCCAGTGAAAATTAGTCATTTTACAGTATTATATGGTACCTCTGTTTCCTGCCAACATTTGACAATGACATCAACCTTAAATCGGTTTATTTATTTTGAAAGCAACTAAACTGTGGATTCACCTGTAGTTGCTTGTGCTCCAGGTTTTCGTTTTCAATTTATCTCCAGACATGAACTGTTTTGTGCAACCTCCATACTCACTGTTTGAGTTTGCTTCATAATCTTTGTGGACATCTGCAATTTGCTTCATGGTTTTAGAAAAACCAAAATTGTTTTTCTTCCTCTAACATTAATGGGTATTGTTTGTTTTAATCTTTTCTGCAGGGGTTATTTCATCCAGCCAGGAAAGTACGAGACGTCTACTGGAAGATTTATAATACACTGTACATTGGGGCTCAAGATGCTTTGGTTGCTGGTTATCCAAGAGTATCAAATGAAGAGAAAAACTTTTACATCAGAAACGAGTTGGATTACTTCCTGTAGATGATCAATATGTCATATAGATTGCAGAGTTAACAGTGTGCAATTCTTTAAAACCACACAACACATCACACTCAAGATACCCATGATGCTGTATTCTTTTCAATTTAATTTGTGTGTGCAGTATCGATTTCTTAAAAGCACTCTCAGAATGAGTTTTAATGTCTGTTCTTTTTGTATGCAGAAACAGTTGTCACATGCAATCAATTTTATATGACACTAATTTCTCAGATAAAAAAAAAAGTCATGTCATCTGCACAATTTATATAAGAGTGAGTATCCACTACTTTCCAAAAAACACAGGACTGACTTACCACATTCACATTATTACCACATTGTATTTTTGTTGTGTGTATAGGATTTATCTTGTTGGCTTTGGAAGATTAAACACCTGATCATGATTAATTCTTGAATTTTCTGTTTCTATAGCAATAGAAATATAATTTCCTCTGTATTTTTATGTATCTTAAACAATGTCAAGTTTCTGGAAATGAAATAAAAATAAAGAAAATAGAAACTCTTTATTTTGTGTTTGTTGTGTGTAAATTTGCATAGCTGTATGTTGCGAGGATTATTACACACCTTCAAAGTGAGATTTTTGGATGTCCCCTGAAAAACGAATTTTGCTACAATACCCCCCATGACACGTCTCTGGTAGGGGTCTTAGGAAGTCTAGTACACAATGCTGTGTGTATCGGTAGTTAAAATTTGCACATTTGGTGTACTTTTTGACCAGCCATCATTTGGCTTGTACAAGATTATTAGACTTACACATTAAATGAGAACACAGAATCAAGATACTGTAAACTACTTATTTTAGCTGGAATTAATTTTCGCTGAAAAAGCTTTTTGGGAGTTTTGTATGAAATTTATTTTCACTGGTTTTTGATGAGTTGAATGTGAAATGTTGGAAAAAAGTTGTATTAGCTAAATTTTATTTTCACTGAATCATCTCTTCAGCGAAAATAAGTATTTAACATTATGTGGGAACTAACCACCAACCACATTATTTTAGCTCCAGTGTGCAGAGCACAAACTGGCAGATAGTGCTTAGATTGATATTTCAAATCTTGGTTCAAGAGACAAAATGGAATGCAATTGGAGGTTGTGTATTGTACACACAATTTTGCTTATCTGTATTTATGACGAACACTTTGAAATAAAAGAAAGTGTATACAGGTTTGTGAAAAGATCACAAATAGTTGACATGTAATCTATTATAATCTTGCCTCTCACAAGGATTATCTAATTTAGTGAGCAAACTTCTGCTGACTTGCAAAATTTTATTAACCAAATTTTGTTTGTGTGGAATGACAAATGAAACAGTAATTTCAAGCTTTTTAAACAAATTTGATGGGATCTGTCTTGCATTCACCTGCTAATGATTGAAGAACAAATGATTTCTACGGCCAATGTAATTCTCTTTGGATTTGAATGAACCACAATGAATCTTGGGATAAATGTTTTATAAATACATGTATTCATAAAATAAATTAACGCCTCCATGAAACCTGGTGTATGATCGATCAATAAAAGGTAGTGAAAATGGCATGTTTTGTCTGCTTGGGGCAAGAATATATTTCTCAATATCTTACAATTTTCCTTGGTTACATATGGTAAAAACAGGATACTACGGTAATATATAATGTCTGACATAGTATTTTCTAATGTCTAGTATTACATTGTAAGGAACGCGTAAATGTGTTGACTCAGTGCAGAACTTGATAAATAGTTCCTATCCATCTTAAAAAATTAAGGATTTTTTCTTCCAGTCTACCGCATGCATGTGGGAGTTAGGTCAGGGACGTAAATGAACCCTTGCGACGGACGATGTTGCTATTGTGAAATTAGGACTGTGCTGTCCCTACCCCTACCCGGAAAGTGTTAAATCCAATATATCCGATTTTAATCCAATTTTAAATAGTGGATATATTATATAAAATCAATATTGACACTTTCCGCCGAAGATATTCGCTGTATGCTTCTCTGATGTTGCGTTCTGCTAACTTTAGCAAGTTTACCTGGACAGATGTGTACCAGTCAGTTTGAGGAAAATAGCGCCCCCACACTGGTCGAGTTTGAACATGGCGGCGGGAGAAGATCGTGTACTTGACTGTCTGCCTACGGTTTTAAATGAAAAGCTGCTGCCATTCCAGCGTGACGGTGTTAAATACGCCATCCACAAGAAAGGGAGGTAATGTCTACCACAGTGTTATGATGTTATGGCATATAACAATGCGAATATGAACTTTAACGGACCATGTACAGCCACTGTCAATGTCTTGACGATAGTTGTTGTCCGTGATGTTTCCAGTGAGTGGTACATTAGCATGTTCGAAAATATGGAGTGTTTGCGGCGCAGTTTATACCTTTACATTTATTCATTAGTAGCCTTGGCCGCTCATGTGTTGCTGTTCCAAGTCAAGCCCAACTATAAACTTTGCCCGTTACGTAACCACTGGAATCGTCACATAAGTACGTAGCCCGGGGCGATTGTTCATTGGATGTGTGGCACAGGCTAAGATTTAAGCTAATCTCACGTGTTTGCATATCGGATAGACCCAATTGCGTTCACGCACAGGAGGAAAAAGTGTTTGGATGAGCAACATTTTGTAATGAAATGTCCAGCTTACAGTCACCATAGGGACAAATTATTCCTGACTGCACAAAATAAAGTTCCAAATTTTGATAAAGAAAATAGTCAGAATAAATTCATTTTGATTATGGCAAACCATACTCTAGCACCAGCCTTAGCTGTCTTCTTAAAAAACAGCTATGGAACAAAACAGCAACAACTATCAGTGTATTAGGCTATATTTTGTGTTCATTCCATATTCTGTACTCACCATTGGCTGCAAATTGTCTTTATTGTTTTTGATTTTTTTTATTTTTTTTAGAAAAGTTTTTATTTTTTGTTTTACTTTTTAGATTGTAGTTTTTTTTAAATTTCTTTCTGTAAGACCCTTTTTATCCTTTCCTAAGGATTTTATGCGTCTAATAAAAAAAAAAAAAATAAGCGCAGGCTAAAAATATACAAAAATCTTCAGTCATTTTAACTACGATTAACCAGTACAGTAACTAGAAAGGTATACATGTCATTTCTATGGTTATAAAACGAAACTAATAAAAAATGTTATGATTATAATGATAATCTTCGAAATGAATATTGAATACAATGGTGTTTAGGACACTTAACCCAAGCTCAGTTTTTCGTGCACACTTTGTTAGCCTGTACGTGCTAAGGATCTAGATTGGGTCTTACCGGTACTTACCAGTTTTTAGCATGTTCTGAGCATTCACATACATATTCTTTGCACAGGCTAACGTTTTTAACCTCTTAGCCTGTGCTATAAATGAACACAACTAATGATACCTATGTTTCTTTTTATACCTATACTTCTTTTCACAATAAATAAATTTCAAACTGTAGTGTACTTTTATGCATTCTTTTTGTTTGTTTTTCAGATGTTTGATTGGGGATGAGGTAAGTGCATTTGAATCCCCAATAAACAACTTTCAATAATTTCATTGAGGCATGCAGTTTGTCTAGATGGTTCAAAAAAATTGACTTGTTTTCAAATAAACCCACATGTTGTCTCAGTACCCAGTATTCTGTTGCACTTGTATCAGATTTGGCCCTGAACCTGGACGCCCTTCAGGTTGCTGAGTTCACGTTGGGGCGACTTAAAATTTGACATGCTTGCATTGCTCACTTTCAGATGGGTTTAGGTAAGACTATTCAAGCCATTGCTGTTGCTTACTATTACAAGTCTGAATGGCCTCTCTTAATTGTTGTACCATCCTCATTGAAGTATCCGTGGACAGAAGAATTGGAGAAGTGGTTACCAGAGTTACAACCAAATGATATCAATATGATTGCTTCAAGCACAGATACTGGGTATGTATTTGGTTCTGTGCACAAACTATGGGAAATTATGTCAATTTGTTTTGAAATTATAGAATAAAAAAATACTTAAAAATGACCTTAATGTATATGGTAAAGTATGATTTTCAAAACTTTCTAGTCATACCTTTTATTAGCTCAACTGTTGACTTGGTCGAGTGGAGCTAATCATATCACTGATTGTCCGTTATCAACGTCCACGTCAACTTTTTACTTTTTTGTACCTCATATTCATTTCATGATATCTTAAATTTTCCAATTTTGATGAATATTTTTGTAATTTTTGGTAAAAAGTTATTTTTTTGATTTCTTATTTAAAAGCCACAAGTTGATTGCTTTGATATTATACATATAGGTACTACAGGTGCACCTCTTTCAGAATGTTCATTCTGTGATGATATCTTCAATTCTCTAATTGAAATGTGCGTTGCTAACAGCAGAGCTATCTCAGCAGGTATACTGCTTGTTTTCCTGCTGTATCGGTAATCATAATTTAGTGAGATATAACTGTCAAACTTTCTGTTTCATTTCCAGTGGTATTTCAACATCAAAAATCTCAATTTTAGGTTATGGGCTACTCCGAAATGACTTCCAGACATTGCAGCATGCTATATCAAGTCAGAACTTTCAAGTTGTCATTGTCGATGAGTCACATTATATTAAAAATATGAAAACAGCAAGGACAAAGATTCTCTTACCCATTGTACAGAATTCCAAAAGAGCTTTGTTGTTGACAGGAACGCCAGCCTTGTCTAGGCCTGCAGAGGTTAGTACTGTGAAAGCATTCATTTTCATTGATATTTATTCTGCTACTGTAGAATACTTTATTTTACATACTTTACACTTATTTTTGACAAGTTGAATGTAAAATATAGGAAAAATGGTATATTCGCTGGATTTTTTTTCACTGAATCATTCCAGCAGCCAAAAAAATAAAAAAATAATTCCAAGCGAAAATAAAGTATTTTACAGTAATTTCATATTGTAAGGTTATCACAAAGTAGGCATGATGGCAATGTGATCGTATTGGCTAACATGAAACATAGAATGATGTGATCCTGTACTGCCTTTATAATGCATAATTTGCAGTATTCTTATGTTAACCTTTTTATTATACATCTTTTCTCAGCATGTAGTAATATTTTAATTCAAGCCAAAAATGTGAATAAAAAAATGTTGCATTTTGTGAATATTTGCATTCCGTGACAGAATTTTACTTCTATCACATGTGTTAGTGTTTCTGTTTCCATTGTTAACAGGAAAAAGTAAAATGTTTAAATGCCAGGTCAATAATCTTAAACACTTATTCAAATTCAAATGTTGGAATCTCTGCAAATACATTGTAGAATGAATGCAGATGCAGCATTCTACATAACTTTAAATTCTATGGTGAGGTGCTAGATGTACAATAATTAATAAACATAATATTCTATTTTCTAGCTAATTAATGAATTTTTTATTAATTTTACATGAGTGAAATGAATTTAATTTACCAGATTTCAATTATCAGGAAAAATTGTGAAATTAAAACTCAGTGATTACAGAAAACGATCAATATACACCACTATAAATGTATGTTATTTAGGGTGAGCAAAACATGATGACACTATGTCTTAAGAACCTCACTATTATAGAATTTCTTTCGTCCATGAAATTTGGCCAAATTTAAAGAAATTTACCAGTACCATACATAGGGTCAGGGTCAATTTAAGAACAATGCTAAATAGCAGACAATCTTAGACGAGTGAGACTAGTGTTTTTGTTGATAATTACAACATGATTCTGTGATTCTGTTTTATTTCACTAGTTGTATCCACAAATTCAAGCTTTGAAAGCCAATTTATTAGGTAACTGGACTGCATATGCTAAAAGATATTGTGACGCAAAATGGAAGTACTATGGAAGACAGAAATCATGGGACACCTCGTAAGTATAAAACTCAGTTGGCTTTCAGACCTATAAATGTTCATTCTAAACAATATCAATAAATGTTCCACTAGTATATTTTGCATATCATGCCTCAATGACATGTTTTAAAAACACATGTACCATGAGAACTATTCTGATATGACATATTATTATACATCTGTCACCGTAACGCCATGAATTACAGCGTGCCGTAATTTTGCGGTATTGCACTAGGTATTTTCATCCTACCATATAAGGAAATGCGAATTCCAAATTTAAGCGGACTCGCTGATTCTGTTCTAAACTTTTTGGATTTCGGCATTCCCATGACGTATCCTTGGAAGGAAAAGATGTATAATATATGGTTATTACGAGGATACCTCAAAGTATGCACTCAGACAGTACGCTGACGCATTGACCTCTGTTACGCGTCGGTTGATACTCCCACTGTACTGTCTTCGTGCATACTTTGAGGTATCCTTGTAATAACTTTATATTACACAAGACATATTACATAAAGACATATTCTGATATGACATATTACATGAAGACATATTCTGATATGACATTACATGAAGACATATTCTGATATGACATATTACATAAAGACATATTCTGATATGGCATATTCCATAAAGACATATTCTGATATGACATATTACATAGACATATTCTGATATGACATATTACATAAAGACATTTTGGTATGATTACCATGGAATTTATTCTAATTTTCTCTCTGTTCTAGGGGGGCTAATCATTTACCTGAATTGCATAAAATGCTTAAAAAACACATCATGATACGAAGAGAGAAGAAGCAGGTAAGTTTGAGGTGTATGTTGTCGCATTCTCTGCAGTTGTAACCTGAAATTTAGTGAGACGTTTGTATGGGAAATGTGATTACATACTGTACACTGTCTTTATAGATGAGACAAAATTTCAGGACTATTGAATACGTTAATATCTTAATATTTATCCTAATATTTATAAACAACACATCATATACGCTTTCACAACGTCCCTCGACTCACTGAATATATGTCAAGTACGGTTTTGATGTTGTTATTCTAATATTTATAAACAACATATCATATACGTTGTCACAACATCTCTCGTCTCACTGAACATATGTCAAGTACGGTTTTGATGTCATTTTGTTTATACATGTATATTAGGTACTTACACAACTACCACCAAAGCGGAAACAGAGAATTCCATTTGTCTTGAATGATACTCCGCAGAAAAAGGTATTTTTATTGATTTAAATTTTGAATGATGAAGAAATAAAAGATTGTTCATTCTCTTATAAAGTGACTTTTTCTTACTGAAAACTTTCTAGCTGGTTTTTCAAAGATTACTAAATTTAGTATCAGTATTCAAAGTTTACAATAACCTTCAATAGAAGGGTTAACAGATTTTTATTTATTTTCAAGGAAGTTGATCGCTTAATGGAAAACTTGAAAAATGTATTAAATGGTGAAACCGTTTTTGAAGAAGGGGTTAATCCGAAAATAGTCATCAATGGGTTAATCTCCTCACTATATATCAAAACAGCTGAGGCTAAGGTATGTATAATAGTTGCATAGTAATTAGCTAATTTGAATATACAGTGCATGTTGAACACTTTACAAAAAGACACATTGCTGGTAGATATTGTGATCGATGTACATAGTGATTAGTTAATTTGAATATACCATGGATGTTAAATAGGTCATATGCATATAAATACTTTTCATGAACATTTTCCATAAAAACACATCTTTGGTAGATTTTAGTGTTTGATGTGCATTTTGATTGGCTAATTTGGATATACTTTGCATGTTAAATACGTAATTTGCATATTAGTAATTTTCACATTCATCTCTGATTGAACACTGATTATTTTTTGTAACAATTTGCATATTAATTGCCTAATTTAAAAAATACTGTAAAATAAAGAATATTCACTGGATTTTGAAGGAAATAATATATTCTACGGGTTAGCTTTCCATGCCCACTGGTTTTTAAATTTTGTGCACTAACTGATATCCCGACAACCAATGACTAAAGAGCTAGGTAATTCGATCTTATTGTTATTTGTTGACAGGCCGGAGCTGTACGAGATTACGTCAAGACATTGTTGGATAACCGAGATCAGAAATTCTTGGTATTTGCACATCATCATTTCATGATGCAAGCTTTGACTGATGCAATTCTGGAGTACAATAAAGAACATCATAGTAATATTAAATTTATAAGAATTGATGGCACAGTTCCAGTGGCTGAAAGGGCTGTAAGTAACTCAATACAAACAAGGCCAGATAATATACATGACATTATTTATATGCATTCACTTTGACACGTGTATTGACTGTTGCTGCTATTGCAAAAATCTTGACTGAGAGTCATACAATAAAAATATTGCATGCCACATGCAAAGAAAATATTTGTGCTCTTTTAAAACATTTCCAACACCAGCCATACAAACTTCTGTGCTGTGCCACACAGGTCTATATTTAGTCAGTAATATATACCTAGCTGGAATAAATTTTCGCTGAAAAAATTTTGTGTGTGTTTTGTATGGAATATATTTTTACTGATTTTTGACAAGTTGAATGTAAAATGAAACAAAAATTATTTCTTCAGCGAAAATTTATTCCAAGCGAAAATAAAGTATTTTACAGTATCTGTTATTATTTGAGATACATTGTTGTGCATATTTATTCCAGAGATTGGTGAAATCATTTCAAAATGAAGATGATGTAAAAGTGGCAATTCTCAGTATTCTAGCAGCTGGAACTGTAAGTTGTTACTGATATTTAGTAAATTTAGAGGGCTCTGCCAACAGGAACCCCCCCCCCCTCCCCAGAGAATAATTAGTTAACTTTTGCCATTGAAATATTTTTGGAGTAATTTTAGTGTATTTGGTGTCCAGGCACATTGTTGATGGGAAGTTTTCACGGAGTAAAATATATTTCATGTTGTACGGCAGCACAGAAGTGCGCGGCTCAAGAAATATATTTATGCCTCGAAAGTTCAATCGTCAATTCAGTAAGAGAGCGCCAGCCGAGAGTATCAGGGCGCTGCACCCCTGTTACCCGATTTAGAAAAAACCCTTAGTTTTAACACTGTTGCCTTTATCATTGATAACCTATTAAAAGATTGTACATATTTTGTTGAGTAGAATGTGTTCACAAGAAAACCCTACTCAATTTACTATCAGTAGGTTATGTTATTTACTGTTGAATCATAAATGCTGATTTAACATACACTAGTTAATCTAGTTTTGAGAAGCAAAAAAAGCACAAGGGTAACTTTTCTAGTTGATAGATGTAACTATTGCTATACATCACCTCAAAAATTATTCTGCCTAAGGGTTTTCTTCGATTGGGTGGCAAAGACAACTTATGCAATTATCAATGCTTCGGCCGCCTAGGAACTGGGATTTATAAAGAGATACCTGGATTCTGTGGGTTTTCATTTGTCTTGTCGTGTAAATTCAAGATTTACTATAATATAAGTGCATCTCCAACAAAAATGCACCTAAACCAAAATTTGCATTTATTGTATTGATCATTAAAATATGACTTACTTAGGCAGAACACAATCTTGGGGGTAGAAGAAAATATTATATTTGTCCCCGAATGTACATGTCACGATATTTGTGGAGCGCAATATTTTAAAACATGTTTGCTATAGGTCGGCGACTTGCGGAGATTTGACACTGTTAAAAATCTCTACATTGTTGCAGTGTGTTGCTTCATATCACTCCTATGCACCATTTATGTGCGTAAAATACAGCATTTTCATGAAATAAAAATGCATGATTTATTATTTCTTACAAAACACACTTTATATACATATTAATAGGGGCTGACATTAACAGCTGCAACTCAAGTTGTGTTTGCTGAGTTGCATTGGACACCAGGTGTAATGGATCAGTGTGAAGACAGAGCTCATCGTATTGGACAGCTAAATTCCATCCAAGTCCACTACCTGGTTGCCATGTCAACCATTGATGACTTCATGTGGGCTGCTATCTCCAGAAAGGTATAGAAGAAATATTATATAGTTTTGTCATTATAAAAAAAAAATCCAATTGTTTATATTTGACTAGCTATTCTGTAATGCATCATTCAATTTTGGATGTTTTTTGTATGGTTTGACAATTTTTACTTCATCTGTATTTTAATTTCGTTTTGATCAGGACTTTTCTTGTAAATATAGGAATTATGTATTTATACATCAGTATAAAGTAGTTGAAATAGTTACGTCCTAGCCAAATTAGTGAATTTGGTTCAATGCATTAATCAACAATTTTAATTTAGCTACTAAAATACTGTAAAATACTTTTGCTCTGAATTTATTTTCACTATTTTCACTGAAGGAATGGTTAAATGAAAATAAAATCCAGCGAATATACTTTTTTTCTATATTTTTCATTCAACTCATCAAAAACCAGTGAAAATAAACTCCATACAAAACATCCAAAACGTCTTTTTAATGAAATAATTCCAGCTAAAATAAAGTATTTTACAGTATCAACAATCTTATTTTGAGAATATACTTCATTTTGAATATATTTAAAACAAATTTAATATATTTTATTTTAAATTTTAAAGCTGCATCTTGAATTAATGAAATTACAGGGTAGCTAAATTAATTAAAATGACATGCTAGCTAAAAAGTATGTGTCGTTATCAGGATTCATAACATGCCATTATGTTGGGTTGTCAATGACTTGATGGTTACAGGTTAGTGTTGTGAGCCATGCACTGAGTGGAACATTACAACAACTCAAAGTAGATGAATGCGATAAAAGTGATGTGGACTTTCTTTCTCATGCTGCTGCTTGGTTGCCTAGGAAACAACAAGAAGATGATGAAGAAGAAGATGATGATGATGATGATGATGATCTGTATTTCAGTAGCCAGGTACGAATACCACAATGTTCTGTATGCCTTAAATACAAACAATATGAAATTTTGCTTTCAGCCATTTTTGTTTGTCACAGAAGCACCTCCACCATCGAGGGTGTGGTTTATTATGAAGTTGCTTTGGAAATGCATCATGCTGAAATATCTTGTGTGAATGCCAGATGAAATAAAGTCTGGAAAATGTGTATGTTCTAACTTGTTATTTTCCACACATTCTCAATAATATTAAATTGCTCTTTTTGCAGAGTCAAGATTCCAGACAAAAGAGCATCTTGTCATTTTTTACCCCAAAACACAAAGTCTCTCCAAGAAAAAGAAAGATGAAATCGTCACCAAGAAGTAATATCAAGGAATCATCATTATTGCATGGCAACCAATCAGTGGTCACCGTTATTAGTGATGATGAAGAACACTTCCAGAATCAGCCAATCAGAAAGAAGCTTAAAACCAGTCATAAACCAATAACAGATTGTGTTACTCCTACCCAGAAAAACATGAAAAGAGACAAACTGATGACAGATGATGATGTTGAGAGTGATTCAGGAATGTGTTGCATTCTGGGAGATAATTTTTCAACCCCAGACCAGAAGACATCAAATGTTAGAATGAAGGCAGATAAAAAACAAAAATTGTGGAATTGTGGAGCATGTACTTTTGAAAACCATGACGATCTTCCGTTTTGTGAGATATGTGACACACCTCGCAAAAATCAGAGACAGAAAGAAATTGAGTCCATCGTAGAAAGTGAAAATGAAGATGCAATTACCATGGCAGAAATTAGTGATGTCACTACAGAAACTGATGACACATTCACAAAAATTGATGATGCCACTGACAGTGATGACACCATAATAGTTGACTACACAGAAGTAGATACTTCTGTAAGTAAGAAGTCGGCACATGCTGTGATAGACAAGAACCCAACTGATGGTTTGGAAACCATGGCAACACCAAAGATGAAACCAGTGATTAAAACCGATGAAGAGCAATATAATGATACAAACACGCCACATAAGTCAGTGGTTGATGATAAGTGGTGTCATATTTCGGTTCATGAGAGGTTTCATTACAGTGCTAGTAAATATACAGATAGAATATATTTGTATGATGAGGTAAGATTATGGTGTTGTGTATACTGGGCGCTTTAATTTATGATAATTATAATAAAAAGTATTATTGGTCCCATACCAACTACACTTTTAATTTGCATAAATCAAATTTTGAGCTCCTTCAATGAAATTTAGAGATTTTTAGATTTTTTCCAATAAATCCCAGTGAATATTAGTAACTTTCAAATGAGAAATTATTCGTCATTATCAAAAGTAGAAGTGTTGATCTGGTGCGTAACTTGGGACATGTTTTTGTAACATGACTAATCATACAAAATTGTGATGTTTAGCGTCAATATAACTGCTGATAAGGTACGATAACCCTATTTACAGTATCCTTGAACAGTACACTGAAAAAAGAATGATGATGATACCATGTTTAACATAGCCATATGATAATTTCAGACTGCACAACAACAATTACTTGCGACTCTCGACTGAACATGTTTTTTTTTAACATACCCCCCCTCCTTCCCCTGGTATATCGCTAAGAAGGACTAAACGTGATAAAATGTTTATCAGCTGATATTACTTATTGTAAAGCTTGTAAATACTCATGGCTCGCTTTCAGTAAAACCAATTAAGTGATATCGATGATAACTTCATAATATGATTGCGTGTTTCAGTCTGGCTGTCCACTAAATGCAAGTTTTTGTGTTTCAGTCTGGCTGTCCACTAAATGCAAGTTTTTACCCGATGGATGTACAAAATAAAGATGTAGACAATTTACCGGATATACTGCATCATCCACACAATCTCCGCCTTGTCAAAAGATTTGTAAGACAGTGGAACAGGTAAGTTTTGAATGCTGTTACGTGTGATGCATATATGTTATACTGGTATGTGATTTTTCTTGTGGTTCTTTTTTCTTGCCACAAGATTTGAATATTCTTTTTGAATGTATTTTAAATGATGTACGAAACACTGAAATTTCAAAGAAAATATTGCAAACATTAAAGTTGCGATCATCAGCTGTGAACTGTTTGCAATAACATCACAGTATGCCAATGGTCAGATGATATTTTTGGCACAAATGATGTACTATTTATGCTGAAGGGATTCATAATCAGTGAAAATAACATCAGGTAAATTTCCTTTTTTTCATACATTTCACATTCCAACTCGTCAGTGAAAATTAACTTCATACAAAACAGCCAAAATTTCTTTTCAGCGAAAATTAATTCCAGCAAAAATATAGTAATTCACTACGTTCAATTACCTGCCATAGACTCCGGTCAGTCAAAATGACTATTTTTAACTGTAGGCATTAATCAGCGATTCTGCCGATGACGGAGTGATAGAATCTAGGTCAGGGGAAGCCCCATGACCCCAAGATTCTCTTCCCTTACGTCACGAACCACGTGACCGAGGCCATATGGCAGCGACGTTAACGACTGGACAATCACTCTGATTTTTCTCCGCCTCGAATGGAGATGAAATCTAGCGAGCTCTGCCCGGAAAGCTTGCTTTTTTCCTGTCCAGGTTTCTGGCTTGGGTTGTTGCTGCTGGGCGGCATTCGACATTCTAACTGGTAGGATAGGTTTTCTTGTCTTCTTTACCCTTGTGTCATTTTCCCCTTTGTGTGTAATATTTTTTTCACAACAAAAAAATTTAAACCCAACGCCACAACGTAACCACTTGTTGGTTTCGTGGCGGCACCTTTCACTACTGCATGTCGTCTTCATTTTATGCTTGATCTACGTATTTAGAAATGAATAGATGTAATGACAGCTCCCATGACTTGCCGCCGTTTTTTTAGTCTACTCGTTTTCGAGTCGACTGTGCAGTGGTTATATTCAGAATTAAGCAGCATAGAACCTGCATCTGATATGTTTCCTCACTCGCTTCGCGTCGCTTGATTTTTCACAGCAAGGTAGCGCGTCCAGTAAAAATCGGTTAAAGTGAGTTGCGTGTTTATCATGAGTGGAAAGTCCTCACACTCTGCTACCGGTGCTTCGTGTACTGGAACGTCAAGTAGGAGGCCCGACAGTGGAGGTACCAATATCCCCCCCCCCCTTGATCGGAGGGCATCCTCAGTCTGTTTTCAGGCGGTGGTTTACCCAATTTTACCAGCTACAATGAGGCTGTGCCCCTGGAGGTTTTTTCTTCCTATGGGGCCCGTCGCGGATCCCTTTGTGGATTCTTCCTCACACGGCCCCGGGTTTGCCTCCAAGTTGAGGGCTTTGGTCGAAGGACTATCTGGGCAAATTGCGTCCCTGGCAGGCCGGGTAGATCATGTTTGCATTCAAATACGTCTCTTCCGGGGAACCCCCGTTCCCAGCCGCGGCTCTCCCACTAATTTGGGTCAGGCCGAGGCTCAGGCTAATTGCACCGGGCCTCCTCTGGAGCCTCGGGCACTGAATGCCAACTGGGTGCTGGCAGCCAAGCCTCTGATCATGGGGCAGGGCTTTCAGGGCAGGGCACTCGTTGACCCCCCTACTTTCAGCCAGCCCGGGTTCGTCACGCGGTAGTGGTACAACGGTAACGAATTTACCCTTGTGTCTGGTCTCCGATGTGGGTTTTGACTCCCTTCTTACCGACCCACGGGCGTCCCCAGAGGGAACCGACCCTGTCATGAGACGCACAGTCGAACATGCTCTCTCTCACATATATAAAGTGAAAAGGGGACACAGTTCGCTCGTGTCAGATACAGTCGGTACCTCGGGCGGTCCCTCAGAGTCTTTCATCTGTAACGACTCGGTGAGCCACGCTTATGGGGTGATACAGAGTTCCATCGATCTTAGTGATACGATGTAAACACCCCCACCCTGATCCTCAGGCGACCAGTTTCAGTTGCTTCAACGCTTATGGGATCACGGGCGTCGGGATCCAAAGCAACCCCGTCGGCACGTCTCTCCTTGTCCGTCCGAGTGCGGAGTGGGACACAGGGCGTGCAAACGGTGTTGATGGGCGGACGTTGGTCAGCCACGGAGGAGGTAACGCTTAAGGCCCCCGGGTGGGGTAAAATTTTATGCAACACTTTCCGCTGGACCAAATGCTACCCGGTCGGTGTGGTTTCGGGATCAGTCCCCAAAGTATGGGATGAAACCAAAATATCCCCAACTGGATCCCAAGGCTCCTTCCCCAGACCCCGGTACCACGAATTTTCCGTTGGGCAGACCGGGTAAAGGGGGACAGCCGTGTTCCATGGGCGTTCTCGCCAGCTCAATCTGAGACGATCCATCACGTCCAGAGGGCCGAGTTGCTTGAGCGCATTATTGTGCGCGCCCAGGACTCTGAGACCTTGGAGGCAGAACGCACCAGCCTCCTAGACCAGGCGACACATTTATTGGTGGGCCACCGCACATCTACGTGCGACATCCCCTAGTGTCACCTGCCTCTCTTGTCCGTGCGGGACCACTACTGCGCAACGAGACGGGGCCTTAGACGTGTGTGTTTTCACCTGCAAGCTGAGTCAGGGGGTACGTCCCCACCTCAGTGACGCAGACTGGACATCTTCCACCCTCTTTGTTCGAGGAATAGTGGGTACAGTCTCGTAGCTTCGGAGTGCAATGAACCAGACGGTTCAGATCGAATCCGCTAGCCAATTGGCCCTGCCAAGGGCAAGCGGAGGGCACCCCAAGCACAGAAAACACAACGCCCTAGGGCGCCGTCCGCTAGCCAGAGTCAGCCAGGAGGCAAGTGCTCATACCCTTCCATGGGAGGGAAGAGTAGTGGCGTGCCCCCAGGGAGGAAAGAGCCAGGGGGTTGCTCCTCACCCTCCTTGGGCGGACGTCTACTCCGGCAGCGGGGGAAGCGTGTTTGACGCTTACCTCTGCAACCAGGGGGACAGGCATGTGTTCGGCGAGTGGCCAGGTCTCAACTTAGTAACTACTTCAGGCCTTGGAGAACTCACCTCATGGGAGAAGAGAGCACCCCCCTCGCAACTGCCGAACCCGTGGCCACATATCCCTGTCATACACAGATTGTGCCGGTGTAGTCCGGTTTGGAGACAGCGGGTGACCAATCCCTGGACCTTTCCAGGTGGTGACATCCTGTTACGGGATACCGTCACAAGGCGGAAGCAATCAGGCAGGAAGTAGCAGTTTTCTGGGAAAAGGCGCCATACACAGGGTAGATCAGCAGGAACTAAGTCCAGGCTTCTACCCAAATGTGTTCGTACTACCAAATCTACAAGTGGCGGGCGTCCAGTTCTGGACCTAGGCAGGCTGAATCAGTACGTGCTCCTTGATCGGTTCCACATGGAGACACCATCCACGGTTCTTCTCTCCATCCACCGTTTCGACTGGCTAGCCCCACTAGACTTAAGCGGGGCCTACCTGCACATACCGATGCACCCAGCGAGTTGCCATCTCCTTCGAATCACCCAGCTGGGCCAAGTATTCAAATTTCGACCCAACGTGCAGTTGGTGTCCCTGGGCATGGAGTTTTGACACACAGGTAAGGTTGGTATAGCTATTTCAAGCGTGTTGCTTAGCACTAAGCACCCTAGCCGAACGCCTAGTCAGTGTTTCTTCAGTGTTTCTTCAGTGTTCCTCCGAGAACTAATGCGGATCATCAGAATGATGACCTTGGTTCGAAGGGGTCGTTCCCCAGGCCGCACTACGCAGCCGCTCGATATAACGCTTGTTATAACGCCGAGCTCTCCTATGGGAACTAGATAGGCGGGTTTTGATCTCGACCAAGTGAAGGAAGGTCTGCCCTGGTTGTCGGGGCGCCATTTGGCCATCTTGAATCAGATCGTAAAACAAAATGATGTGCATCAAGGTCCTATAATGTCCAACGTATTTACAAGGTTTGAACAAAATCCATCTGTAAACAGTCGGGAAATGCTTGATTTTGATGATTTTTAGCCTAAAAATTGCTGCCATTCGGCCATCTTGAATCAGATCATGAAACAAAATTGACGTGCATATGTATGATATATGTTATATATATATATACATGTATTCAAAATGGCTGATTTTGAATGATGTTCCAGAGCAATAATATCTCTCAATATGGAAAAGTACTTGTTTGACGATCAGATACAAATGTCGATCATTTTAATGTTAAAAAAATCATATTCCCGACATGGTTATATTCCAGCTATATTACTATAAACAAAACTATTTATCTTAAATTTGATAACTAACAGGGACTGTGCCATGCATGGCTTGTTGTAGTTTGTTTCATCCTGGACTGGGAAAAGACTTTCATCATTTTCTGTTTGCTCGGAAAAGCCACCACCTATCGGCGTCTGACTCTGCCTACAGTTCAAAATAGTCATTTTGACTGACCCGGAGTCCATGGTGGGTAATTGAACATAGTGAATTTAGGCAGAGGGTTCTCCGAACCCGCCTAGTCACATAGTTCATACCCACCATAGACTCTGCGCCTCCCCCCCCCAATCACCCCACTCTTTCCGTAGCGTCCTTGAGGCGGAGAGAAAGGACCAGAGTGATTGTCCAGCCGTTAACCGCGCTGCCATATGGCCTCAGTCACGTGGGTTCGTGACGTAAGGGTAAAAGAATCTTAGGGTCATGGGGCTTCCCCTGACCTAGATTTTATCTCTCAGTCATTGGCAGAATTACTGATTAATGCCCACAGTTCAAAATAGTCATTTTGACTGACCGGAGTCTATGGTGGGTATGAACTATGTGAATAGGCAGGTTAGGAGAACCCTCTGCCTAATTTTACAGTAAAACTATGTGTAAGTTTAAAACATTAATTTGATATCAACCATATTTCTGAGTTGATTAAGTATTATGGTGACATGTACTGAAGATCTTGTTGGTCATGAGAAATCATATGATTATGTCCTAGAAGTGATTCTGTGGAGAAAATTGTTAAGTTTGGGGGTTGATTCTTGTTTATGGTGTGTGTTTTTGTCATCTTGTATTGAATCATATTTCTAATAAACATGATTCTTTCAGTTTGAACTATCTAAACTTTATGTAATTACCAGTGATTGGTTGTGGCACTTAAGGCTTTAGCGTTTCTCAATTATTTGGGTCATTCCATAACCTTGAGGCCAAACTTGTAAATTTCCAGTCTTCTAGTTAGGCTACTAAATGTAGAAAATGGTAGCCATCATATTGGTTGTTTGTGTGTCTTGGGCTAATACTAATTTCAAGCCCTGGATATGGGTTTGTATTGATCACAAGGAATGTGAGTTCGCATCATATGATTTCCAACACAATCTTCATTACATATATTGGAGTTGTATGCCCTTGTAAATCTACCCTTACAAACTTATTTTGTTTGTTTGTCTTACAAGGTTGATGGAGCAAAGATACTCATAACCATTCACCATTGTGTTTATTCACACAGTATTAATGATATAAGAAAACGTCAAGTCAGGAAAAGTGGCGAAGTGTTCTATAATGTACATGAAATGCTGAATGGTATACTTGAGAAACAGTCATCGCATGGAAAGTGTAATAAACGATACCTTACTAAGGTGAGAAACTTAGCTTATTGATGTGTTTTTATTTTACCCCCAGTACACAGGGTTTACTTTCATAGACCCAGCAAAAAATAAATTGGTTTCAGGTCATTATGTACATCAGTTAAACAAATACGCATCACAATTTTATTTTGGGGTTTCTGATTTAAATTTTCTGAATCAACATCACAATTACAGCTCGATACAGCAAAAAAAGACTTTATTCTGGTTCTGAGATTTTCCTTCATTGCTGAAATTTATTTTGGCAAAAAATGAGACACTTAACCGGTTATGAATATATTTTTTTATACCTGTATTTGTATATATTGATTTTAATACAATTTTAATAAGCTACAAAATTACATCTTTCTGAGCAGGAAGATTTTGCACAGAAGGCAAAGAAGACAGCAGAGAACATCGGTGGATCTGTGAGGGTTGTGGCAAAACACAAGATTACGCCAAAGAGAATGCAGACTGAACGAGGACATAAAACATCACCTAAAAAGAATAGTAGGAGAAAAAGTAAACAGGCTAAAGAGATTGAAGAACTAATGATGCTAGCTGCTGACCATGATGATTGCTGGTCTGATGAAGAGGATACCTCTGCAACTCAAAGCGATACTGCACAATTCCATTCCATATCTCCCAAAACGAGTGCTGATATCAAACACTACCCTGGAAATAGAAGTAAGTCAAATACACAAGCCACTAGGACAGTTAATTCCGTTATCTCAAAAACTTTGGCAAACAATGCAAATAAGAGCTTACCCAGTGATGATGAATTTGACCCATTCAACACAGTGATAAAACAGAATAGTTTCCATGTCTGTCCTGATAAAGATCCAAGTACATCTATGTCGAGCATATCTGTCAAACCATGCAGCGATGGGAGGAATAAAAACGGAGATGATTCAAAGGACGTTATCGATGATGATGATATAACGGCAACATGTACCAGATTACAGGTAATACCACCACAAGATTTAGTATATTTTATCAGTTTATAGCACGTAGACTCAAATAGTTGTGTAACTACCGGATTCTGCCTTGAATCAGTATGTTTTGGTGGAATATGTTCACAAAACACTATACACTAAACCATTTGTTTTAATATAGCAAATACAGAAGAATGTATATACATATGTTGCATGGAGCAGCAATCAGTCTTCATGCCTGTGTATTTGTGTCAGTCTGTCCTTTGCTTGACCTCAGACTAGTACTAGTAATATAACTATCGGTAGCAAAATGTTTGACTGTTCACCGTTCTGGTCTCCATACAATAAAGACCTTCTGATATCTTAAGCATGAACTAAAAGTATATTTCTGACCAATTTTATTCTGCAATTGGTTTCTTAACTTGGAAATCATTTGTGTTTATTTCTCTTGTATTCAGGTTGTTGACTCAGAAGGGCGCCCTCTATGTTTGTATTGTAACCAGCCCTGCAGAACTGACCAATCACTGCCCAGCACATCAAATAGAAATCATGATTGGGACACAAGATATTGTTCTGAAAAATGCAAGGATGATCATTATGTAAGTCTAAATAGGGTAGTAGTTGTGGACTGTATTAACCTACATCTAAGCTTTCAGAATATGTATAGGTTTTTGGAAGATGCTTAGTAATTTTTAAAGAATGTCCAAATTTCAGATCAATTTTTAGGAGGGGGTGGCTATTACTTGTATCCCTGATAAAATTGGCTTTTTCAGGAAACAAAATAAAAAAAAAATTAAGTTCCTAAAAACATAATTATACATGTGTAAAAATTACATGCTTCTAAAGACTAGCAAATTTTCATCTTAAAATAAATCATCTTGGAAGGTCACTTGATTTCCAAATAATCATGTGATTACATGTATTTATCACAAGCTATTTTTTCCAACAAGTAAATTTTCTGATCAATTATTTCACAGCTTAGAGCCCGTGGTGGATATGTGCGTGAGCAATTATTTAGTATTGAACATGGTATATGTCAAATATGTCGTAGGAATATACATGAACTGTACCTACAAGTCAAGTAAGTAATTACTGTAGCTTTCTTTGATTCAAGGATTATATACAAGTTTAATTTGCAAACAAATAAACAGTTGTTTCATCATTGACCAGTAAACTAAGAATGTATGTCTATGGTCTGATGGCCTCATACCACTCACGAGATGATTACAATATGAAAATGATGAACAAAATTGTCAACTTGACTTGAGTGGTGACAACATATACTGCATGAAGGAAACGCCCGTGTTGTCCAGCTCAAACTGAGGTAAACAAGACACACCTACTGTAGTGGTACTGCACAAAGAGAAATCACTGCAAGACATTTTGAAATATACACAGAATAAATACACATGTAGTAAACCGAAGATCATATGTTCAAATGGCACTCACTTCAGAAAAAAAAATCTAAAATTTCATTTGGTCAATCAAGCCATTACATTGATCTATGAGTGGTGATTGGTTGATTAGTGATATGATCAAATCATATTTCATGTGGTACTAAAGTCGTATATTCTTTATTTACATTGACTGTACAGAGCTTTACCAAAAGGTGAAAGAAAGGATTTCCTGACAGGAACTCATTTTTCCAAGTTACCAGTCAAGATATTGAATGGTATTATAGATAAACCGTCTGAAGGAAAGGTTAGTTCCATGTAATGTGTCATGTTGTATAGTCACTGTTTTTAAATACAGGTTTTTAGATACTAGCATATCTAACCATTTGTAAATAGAAGGGTTGTGAATGCTCTTAGCTAGTTGATACCTGATATCGATGCTTTCATATCTTCTGTAATGAAACACAAACTTGATAAGTGTGCAGTAGAATTATTTTCCGTATCACACCCATCACCATTTGTGGATTACTATACCAAACTGAATTAAAGTACTGTTAACAGTTGTTGTCAAATTTGTAGCTATACAGAATATTGTGAATCAATATCGCCTATGGAAATACATTTACATTGGAAATCAGTAATGCATTGTGATTCAATTGCTGAAATATTCACACTGAAGGTAGCAAATAGATGTTAGAAGAGTTATGAAAAAAATGAAATGCCAGCAGCTTAAAGAATTTATATTTGTAATGGATTCTATAGGGTATATGATAGGATTTATGAACTGCCCTTATGGAAGTTCCCTATACGCAATAGATATACGCAATAGGTACACGACAGATATGCGACAGACATTTTGTACCCGACAACAGTACGCAACAAAACCCAGCAAAATTTTGCTTTCCTGCTAGCCAAGTACAATACGCGACAGGCACTCGAGAACCAAAAAAACAAGATCAGTACACGGCCATGGACACAGATTTTTGCTGTCTTGGGTGGTCTTGAGGGTCAGAGCAATTCTATGTGTAGTCTCAGCTTACTGTAAAATACTTTATTTTCGCTGGAATTAATTTTCGCTGAAAAAGCTTTTTGGGTATTTTGTATGAAATTTATTTTCACTGATTTTTGAATGTGAGACATAGGAAAAAAAGTATATTCGCTGGATTTTATTTTCACTGAAGCATCCCTTCAGCGAAAATAAATTCCAAGCGAAAATAAAGTATTCTACAGTATAAAGATAATGTTCTGGTGCATCATCCATGTGTATTCAAATGAAATTTCTTTTTAGTTTTGGCAGGCTGATCACATAGTTGCTGTTTCTAATGGTGGTGGCCTCTGTTCACTGGATAATTTCCGCACATTATGCACAGTTTGTCATCGATCTGTTACAAATATTCAGTCAAGACAAAGAAAACAAGATAAGAAAATTGCAGCCAGGAGAAGTGCTGGATTTGCAGATATCACTGCGTTCTTTAAATCTTAAAAACTATTTTGAAGTTGCAGTCTGAGATCATTCATTGAACCACATTATCTTGCTGCCTCACCATTATAACTTGACAGAATTCCCACTATAATAAACCTGTATTCTCTATTGACAAAATCAAACACAGCAGCACTGATATGATTGCTAAAAATAGCTGTTTTATCACAAAACTTGTCAGTTGTGTAGAAAATTCTAAACTCTTTTATATACTATATTTTATAAAAGATGTGTAATATTATGAATAAAAATACCAGAACTTCATTTATGTGCAATGAGACCATGTGTTTTCCATTAGTTTTAATCTGGAACTGGGATGGTATATGTTTGTATTACATGTTCGGGTAGTATCAAGACAGACTACAATATTTGCTCTAGCACACCTGCAATAAAAGCGTACATAAACCAATAAGCTATTTTCCGCTTCGGTCGAGATCAACCGGTTGCTAGTTATGTGATACAGGTCAAGCTTTGAATCAAAATAGCGCTAAATTGTGCGTGTACCTACGTGCGTTAAGATTTCTTGCATCTGTTTCACGTTTTCGACCATGACTGACTCCGACAGAATGACCGTGCCACAGCTCAAAGACTTCCTGCATATATTCGGCACTTCCTGCGTATATTCGGCGTTTCATCGTCCAACTATAAAAAGAATATTCTTCTTGCAATCGCTAATTAAAAGCTGTGCACGATTTGAAGCTCGAGAAAGACCCTGATTTTTTACGCCAAGATCCTAAAAAATGATGTTGCTTCAAGACTTGGCAAACTTGGTTGCAATTTCATCGATCCTTTGAAATTACCGGGCTACACTAGTGATTGCAGGAATGTTCCAGAATTCAGCTTGTTCCATGTTTTAATGTGTTATTGGTCCGACTATAACAGGAAGAAGCTCACGGCCTACAAATCATGCATCTATATGTACTGGCATCACATGTCAAAGGTTCCTAACAAATAATGGAAAACGGCTAATATTGCATGATTCACACATTAGTTCATATGGATAACAGGAATCTGTTGACAATGCATGATACGCACAAGCATCCGGACAAATAACAGGAAACTGTCAATATTGCTTATTGTACACAACAAGCATGCTTTAAAAATACATAGCTTGAGAATTCACATTCAACAACATTCAGGCTTAGCTCTTTATCAGGAGGGGTATTCCCTATAAACTCTGTGGCAATATTGTTGTAGCTATTCACATTTAAATCCTTTTCAAATTCTGAGATAACAGTAATGTCAGGAATCTGGTTTTCATCCGGATACTAATAATATGACAATCTAAGATGTACACTTGTGAGTTTTAAATAAAAAAAAAATAGTTAAACCTAAACCTCATTTTATTCGGAATCGCAATTGAAACAATATTGATGCCATGGAAACAAGTTCCGATCCGTACAACTTGCAAGAGAAAGTTAAACCGTAACTACAGGTTTCAATGTTTTCCGGCACTTCTTTTGATTGCTGCTCGGCGATGTCCTCGACTCGAATATACGGCATTCAACACCTAGCTCGTAGTCGCTGGTATTAGGTCTGGATGCTACTCCGTAGAACCCTTTCCTCCCACAAAGTGCAGGGAACAAGCGTATGTGTCTTGGATGATTCTGTGTCAACGAAAATTGCCTGCCCGAGAACAGACACTGCTCTATCGATCACACTTTTCAGACTGCGTTTTTGGTTTAGGGAATCGCAAAAAAACCCACCAATCATATAATTTTTGTACTGAAAGCGAGAATCACTCTTACATTTGCCGTAAGCGCACTGTTTGACTCCCATTGGGACAGATATTATTTCGAGATGAGGTTTACAACGCGTAGGACAATGTGGTTGCTACCATATTGAACTGAAAGCTTGACCTGTATCACATGACTCAATTGGTTGCTAAGGTGCATAAACCGTGGTCACGCGTGATCTTGCAGCTTGCATATTGTATGCTGGATCATTAAAATATGACTTACCGGTAACCTTTTCACTGTTAGTTTCCTCTTTTCATCCCAAATTCACAAAATAGTCCCATTTATAGTCTGCACTTTCCTTCAGACGATTGGGACAAAAATAACCAAATATTTTTAGTAAAAACGGAAAATTTACTCATTTTGTCTTATGGCTCCAAAATTAGGTTTCATTTCCAGAAATATTAAAGAATATACGCAAAAAGTGCAAACAAATTTTAGCAAGGAATTCTGGAAAGGTTAATGAACCATAGATGCACTTTTCTTATTTGCATGTTATGCTAATGAGCATCTGTTTCCAACTAGTTGTGTCAAAACCCTGTGTGACACAGGATTCGTTTTTGGGGAGTTGTGTAATGACCACTGATATAGTTGTCTCACAATGTTGACAACATGTTACTACAACCAGTCAGTAAACTGACATTGAAACACTGTTCATATAATTATGGAAATGAGATAGGGTTTTCTAGAGGTAACATTGTGTCTGTGTATTGCATGTCTTGTATATTCTACATATATTTCATGTGGTAGAAATAACAAAGTTTATTTTGTAATTAAATTATAGTGATTACTAATTAGTACTTCACACCTGAATATTTTCTTTATTATTCCCCAGCTCATAGCGCAGGCATGGGATATAGTGTTTACCAGCATCCTCACAAAGTCATGTCAGGAATACTATTGCAGATACAGACATTCAACCAGTGCTTTACTGAATACTTTGCACATTAGATCTGATTAACATATTTAATGACCATATATGGTCATGCGCTTGAAAAAAAGGTTGCAAGGGGATCTGCCATCTCTGATGGCTTTCTTGTTTAACGAGTTAATCGTTGAAAATGAAATGTAACATATAAAATAACACATCGCATGCTGTTCATATGGCTATCTGTGGAGACTTTGAGCTGGCTATGTTATTATGCAACTTATTAAAAAGTATGAAATAATAAGATGAAAAACAAATTTATTCACATACTATACAATTATTTACAATACAGAAATCACTCTAGAAAAACAAATTAAAAATAGTTTATCAGATTTGTAAAAAAGTAACTGCAAATGAACATCATGCATTTTTATAGATGCATTATAGTATCTGTACACAATACACTACATGAATCACCTGGAATAAGTCCTTGACACTATATTAGAAAGATGTTCTGAGTGGGTTTCACTACATGTACTTCACGCATCCTAGATTGCGGTTGAAATGACCATGGCTTGGCTAATTCAAATAGAAATGTTACATTCATGGAATAGCATGCATCCCATGACTCATTGCTCCTAGACTGAACAAATTACCTGACTTGGCCAAGTGATGTAGCAAATACATTTCTTATCTAGGGTAGTTTGAAATATGTGTATGGGCAATTAATCTAAGTGCTCTGTCATCTCTATTTAAAGCTTGTGTTATTCTTAGTGATACTTCCATTGTATGTGGATGTACAAATTGTAAATGCTCAACAACTGGAATAAATAAGAATCGGCACTGCACTGAAAATTTGAATAAACTAGTAATCATTTAAACAATTTCTTTGATTATCATAATAAATATGGCCAATTTTCGAAGAATACAATAATGATTAAAAATATCACACATACAAACAACCATCATGGTTTCTGATCCGGAGAATATAGTCATTGTGATTATAGAATGGTAATTTCTTTCTAGCTTAGCTTCTATTTTGATGGTCCTTCCAGCTGGTTGGCTCCATGACTATGGCATTTGCTTCCATGCGTTTTTCCTCGGCTTGCCTCATCAGTCACTTGATGTTCTTTTTCAACCATTCTCTTTAAATGGTCCTGAAAATACAATTAAATGTAGTACTAGAGTATTCATGAAGAATGTGTGTATATAAATAAAAATTATGTTTTTCTTATTGCATATATTAGGAAAATATTTTGGATAACTAATTTGATTTTGTAAGAGAAAGAAAATCAAAAAAGAAGTCACTTTTAACAAAAATGACAACAAAATTAATCTAAATTGGACAAATGAAGATGTCACGAAATAAAAAAGACTCAACAAAAATTGAAAAATATCACTTTTTACCTAAAATGTTAATCAAAATTAGAAGATTGAAGATATCATCACCAAATGAACAAATCTGAGAGAGGTCTACCCAAGGTACATATACACCAAGTATCAAAGCATTAACAATTGTAGATTTCAAGAAGTCTGAAAAGTAAAAAGTCAACAGCGGGCTAAAAAGGTGACTGATATTCAAAAGATAAAAGAGTTGAGACAGCCACTTTAAAATACATGCACTATTGTATGAGCATAGTCTAAAATTAATACATTTACGCATGACGGAAACTTCCATACCTGCCATCCCAATAAAGATGCCAACTTATAACAACCATCATCACATGTACCAATGTAAGCAACGTCGCGATAATTATCATCCTTGTCAAACAGCAGAGAGGGAAATTGAAGGTCAATTCCCAGAAATGAACCAACTGCATCCTGGGCCTGCAAAAAAACGGTTCACTTATGTATGGTTGTTATTGAGGTGAAGAATGGAGTGAATCCATAAATAAAGTGGACATGATAGTGTCAATAACTATAACATTGATTTGTTGCATATACTGAAACCATTTTAAATCAGAACTTGAAACAATTGCACATTAAAAAGTGTAACGTGACGTAAAATGTAGTGATGTGGATTTCAAACATTTGTTAAATACGGTACCAAATTTTTAAGTCAATCTGAAAAATTTTGTTTCATTAAGTCCAATATATGTAAAAAATTTGAGAAATAACTGTCCATGAGATCCAAAATGATTGATTTTGATGCCATTTTAACATTAAAATGACTGCATTCTGCCATCATGTATGTATTTGTGTGCCATGATGTATATATATAGTTTTAACTTAATCAGTCAAGCATTTGCATTCAAAATAAAATGGTTACTAGGCGTCCATTTTGAATCCAATCAGCGCGTATCTATAAAATTGTATTTCTTGATTTCACCGAATAGGATCTAACAAATATGTGATAATAAAATGAAACTCATAACCGGAAGATTGTACTCACAAGTGTGTCATTAGGTTTGTCTTTGTTTATTATTAGTCTTGGGGTGTTGACGGGTACTCTGTAAACATAATGCAATTAGTTCATTGCTTTAGACGATGCAATACAAACATGGCTGCTTCTATTTTCGATGAGTTAATGCAGTTTAAATTAACCCAGGTTGAAAATTTTATAACAGAAAAGTTTTTTTTTTAGTTTTAATATTATGAGGTTATTACGAGGATATCTCAAAGTATGCACGAAGACAGTACAGCAGAAGTATCAACCGACGCATAACGGAGGTCGATGTATTAAAGCCTACTAATGTATAATACTTACCTGTTAATGAGAGAACAAAATGGCTGAACGGACAGAGATGTACCAAGAATTATTAATAAGTCACATTTACCAAAATCCTGAAATAAAATAAAACTTTAGTGAATATTTGTTTGACTTTTTTCAACTTACATGAACAGCTTTCAAATTTTTCATGCATGTGACTTTATAGATAGCTCTGTCACAGATTTGTACATTTCATTAGACAATGTTTGATTTTCTTTGTCGCAAAGTATTATGTCATGTGATTAATTATTCATGAACATTTGATTCAAAGAAGCAAGGTAAATTTTACGAGCATTGTAACAGATGCATTTTTCACTTGAGGCATTAAGCTACGTCTTAGTCTAAACAAAAAACCTTCTTTACATTTCCTCGGTACTAAAAATAACTGAAAAATTACACCAAAGTTTACGTTAAAAATGTCATTATCGTCTGTACACTGTGAATGTTATCATAATAATGTCATGGTTACAGCATATAAACTATGAGTATGAGTGGTTTATGTGTTATAATCATCATTTTACTATGATTTAAATAATCTATACAATGGTCATCATGAATCAAGGGAGGTTGAGACCAATCAAAATATCATTGTGAATATGTATAGTTTAATCTTTCTTGTATTTAAATTGTTGGTACATTGACCTTATATACCTGTCATAAACAAATTACAGAATACCGGTATAACCACAGGAATTTCTAGAACACTATGGCCAATTCAAGACGGCCATGGTGTGAATCTCAAAATCCTGTAAAAGTTATTACTTTGTTCATTTTTGATCAAAATTTACAGATTTGTTGAAACCTTAAGCCAAAGGCTCCTTTCACATTTACAATTTTGAAATACATGTACTTTATTTTAGCTGGAATTAATTGTCGCTGAAAGAACTTTTTGGATGTTTTTGGGTATGAAATTTATTTTCACTAAGTTTAGGGGAAAAAATTAAATATAGGAAAAAAGGTATATTGCTGGATTTTATTTTCACTGAATCATTCTTTCAGCGAAAATATTGGAAATTAATTCCAAGCAAAAATAAAGTATTTTACAGTATTGTAAACTGTGGTACAGCCACAGCCAAATCTTGTTTAACACAGGTACCAATGATGAATATGTCACCACCAGAAAAGTGTAGAGGCGATGATTTCAAAGAAGATGATGTACATGTAAAATCTCATGTCTCTTGTCTAAAACTTACAAATAACAAGTTATGGATTATGCTTAAAATTAAAAATATACAAACCTGTTCAACAGATTCATGGAAATTGGCAGAAAGAGACTCACCAAAAAATACAATATCTGAAAAATAAGCAATCTGAATATAGTTTCACTCTTGATTTTTTATTAACTAAAACTATTCCACAATTGGAGCTTAATTAACACTTTGAGTGTCAAAGTTGACTTTTGTAGTCAATTATATCAATTTGATCTCAAAAATTTAGAAAAATACACAATGGACTATCATAAGACATGTACAAGAAATTCATTAGCGATCTCTCTATTATTTCTTGCTGTTTTTGTGATAACAAAGGGAACAATTTTTTTAATGGTGCGAGAATAAAAGGAAAATCCTGCTTTAAATATAGAATGACCATATTAGCATAAGCACTGCTTTAACCAAGGGAAATGGAACACAGAATGAGAACATAAAGGACCAATCAGAATGAGAACATAAAGGACCAATCAGAATGAGAACATAAAGGACCAATCAGAATGAGAACATGAAGGACCAATCAGAATGCCAAAAGTCTGAATAGTTACTGGCTTGGTGCACCATGAAACTTGAGACAGGAACCTGATGGTTCCTCAACAGTAGGACCTCCACTGAGACAGGAACCTGATGGTTCCTCAACAGTAGGACCCCACTGAGACAGGAACCTGATGGTTCCTCAACAGTAGGACCCCCACTGAGACAGGAACCTGATGGTTCCTCAACAGTAGGACCCCACTGAGACAGGAACCTGATGGTTCCTCAACAGTAGGACCCCCACTGAGACAGGAACCTGATGGTTCCTCAACAGTAGGACCTCCACTGAGACAGGAACCTGATGGTTCCTCAACAGTAGGACCTCCACTGAGACAGGAACCTGATGGTTCCTCAACAGTAGGACCCCCACTG